GTGGGGGCCGCGATCGGCCGAACCTGCCGCGTCAGCAGGTAAATAAACTGGCCCGGCCCGCCAGGGTGCTTACCCTGGCGAGCCGCGTGCCAAACGTTGCCGACCCCTGACATAATATTTTCAATTCAATTGCTATATACTGAAAAACACTATTTTGGTTAACATCTTATACATTATCAGCAGGTAAGGTCCTACTTTGTGTGTTGTTACACAAAACAAGGCTAAAACTCAAGTAACTACAGGGGAAAAATGATTAGTACCCTAGAAATACTCTCCCTGGAGTGCATTTCTTGTTGTATAAACTAGAAATAATAAAAATAAATGTAGTCAATAGAGAAGGAGGCTCCATTTCAGAGAGAAGATTCTTGCATGTTTCAGCACCCTCCTGCTCAGAACAGAAGAGGGTCATGTATGTACTGTATCCACAAGCCATCACATCTAGTGAGTTCAAATTTGGCATTTGCCAACATAGTTACTCCCATTCCCAAATACTCTTCTCTCAGATTTTTCCTTCTGCTGTGAAACCAGTTGTTTTGCTCAAGTTCCAAATCCCACTTCTCTCTGCCTCAAGCTCATATGACAACACATTCAAGTATCATAGGTATAAAAATAACATAGGGTATAATAGCCAAATGCAGTTAATCAAGAACAAATACCTGTACAAAATATTATTTTATCTTTATTTTAAATTTCTGCAATTTCTATGTTTGGATCCCACCAGCACAAAGACCATATTTTGTCCCTGGGTTCTGCATCCTGATGAACCAATTGCCTTTGTCTGGCAGGTTGATCTGCTCCCTCTGAACACGATATATATAAAACTGTAGTTTGTATAGAACTGGTGAAGATTGTTATCTGTTTACCTTAAATGGATATCTGCTACCTTCATTTTTCAGCTCTTCTGGAGTGAAGATTTTCCCTATGAATCTTTTGGTATCATATACTGTGTTCTGTGGATTAGAATCTGCTAGTTCTAGGCCATCATATCCCACGTACACATCTGTGTCTGTGAATGACACTATGCTTGGTATGCTGTTATGCCCACTTTCATCTGATATAACTTTCACTTGTCCTGTGCCAGCAAGGAACACGCCAACAGAGCAGTACGTGGTGCCAAGGTCAATCCCAATCACTTTTGGTGTAGGCATAGGTAGATACTGTTGTGCCAGATAGCCAGCCAACAAAAGGGCCAAGACAGCTGAACCTGTGAGAGCGATAAAAAGACAGTATCAGAGCATCCATCCAAACAAATCTGGAAGTTCTTCAAAGCTATAATACTAGTTGTGACAGTGGTAAACCGAGTGCCAGCTCTGGCCGAGGCCATAAGAACTGAAACTCATAGCTGGAAGCCAAACCAGCTCACCTGTATGTTAGTTTTGTCAAAATAGGTATTAGTCTTATAATAATGCATTTAGTGTTTAGACTATGAAATGCTTGTAAATTGATGCATGCATTAATCTCACTTGTAATATTGGCATTCCATTCTATAGGGACATACATAAGTTTTTATATTGAAAATGTTTGCTCTGAATCTGTGAACCCAGGCATGGGAATTGTGTGTCTCTTCCCCCCGGCTGCACAATAAGACAACCTATCAAGACCATTAAGAAACACCACAATACAACGGACTGGTGAATGGCCCTCTCACCTTGGAAATGCTACATGCAAGGGAGCTCCTCAAATGGACTGCAGGGCCAAATGTAAAAGATAAAATAGGGTCACAAGAAAATCTTTCATTTCTTTGCTGTTTGAACTCTCACCAGGCTAGAGACACTTAACTAAGGCAGAGATCTCCAGGGCCCTGAAACTGAATTGACAGATTACTATCGCTATCATCTTTAGCAACCATGTATGGTATACTTGCTAGCACCTGTAAATAACTTTCTTATTTCTTTTTCCTAGTTAATAAGCCTTTAGATAGTTTATTACAGGACTGGCTACAGATGTGGTCTTTGGTGTAAGATCTATGGGTAGATGAGGGGTAACTGACTGGTCTCTTGGGACTGGAAGCAACCTGAATATTTTGTGAGTTTTATGTAAGTGATCATTTATCACTAAGTCCAGCTTCCCTGGGTGGAAAGATAGACAGGAGAGCCCAAAGGGATAGTCTGACACTCCATGGTAAGACTAGTACAGTGGCAGTGGCTCAGGAATTCATATTTGTTACTGAGTTGGTGAAATCTAATTATAGAACATGCCACCAGTTTGGGGTGTCTGCCCTGTTTTTGACAGTCTGCCCTGAGGTAACACTCATGGCCATGAATCACTCAGACAGTATGATATTACTCTGTTTTATAAATCCCTCCACTGATTCCACTCAGTATATATCTTAGTATATATTTACTCTGATGTAAAAGTAGAATGTGAAATCACATTGTGAAACTACTTTGTGCTTAGTCTCATTTCCTCAGAAGTCAGTAGCAAGCTTGCATCTGGCAATTCAGGCAAACTGCTAGCCACTGAAGTGTAACATAGACAAGGACATAAGATTTGTGAAAGTTTAAAGAAAGGAATGGTAAATCAAAATAACAAAATAATGTTGCAAAGTGATTTACAAATACATACCTCACATGGAAGATGAGGATTAATTGGTAAGTATAATCCCTACATTACAGACACAGAAAATAAAGCAGAGGCTAAATGAATTGCTCAAGGTCACACAACAAATCAACGACATGGCCAGAGTAAGATCCCAGGAGTTCCTGGCTACCAGTCCAGGGCTCAAATGACATCTCTCTATTTGGCTCTCCCACTTTTTTTGAAGATTGTCAATATAAATATACATACAAAACATGAATTTCCCATGTCAATCAAAGACTAGTCATATATCTTCCAGAGAGCAATAGCCCGATGTACTGGTATTGGGAATTCATTCTAAGCATAAAAGGCAACATGGAAGGTGGCACAGAGATGGGAGAGATGAGGGTGAAACTGTTGACAAAGCCAAGATACATGATAAGAGAAGAGACCCAATATGCGAGCTGGGCAGGGTCAAGGCATGGTCTCAAATGCAAGAACAAGAAATGTATACTTTATAAATTGCACAAAGTGGAATCGGTGGAGGGATTTAAAGAGGAGTAAAAAGGTAGGATTAATGGGCAAAGATGATGTTAACATATGTGTTTCTGACAGATGGGAAAGGAATTGTGCGTTTGTTTATTTTAACAGCTCTTCTTCTTCTCTGTGTTTGAATGATTTTGGGGGTGGGGGATACTCTGTATAAAACCTGTACCGAATGGATATGTCACAAACAGAAATGATTCAGGCATAAGTATCCAGAAAAGCCAATCTGAGAAGATAAGCTTCATGCCTCGACTTGAAAATATTGACAGTTTATGGCAGATATGTTCAAGTTCAGTGTCCCACATCTCTGACACGTCACAGGCAAAAGCACTAGACAAAATAGTCTTTGAGAACCTTTTGAAGTTGAAGCCATTCTGCTGTAACCAAATGTAGGTCATGACCAGGAATACAGACAAATCCCTGTGATTTGACTGGCCAGAGTTACATGAAGATTTACATATGAAAAGAAAACTTAGAGCTTGTACCGGATCGGAAATAAGGAAGAGCTTTTAGTATAATAAATAAAATACATTTAGGACAACAGACTTTTGTAGTAGTCAGCACTCGGACAGCAGGATTTGGCAGCAATTATGACTACGGACTTCTCTACACAGAACTGTTTCTGACTTACCCATTTGGGTTAAACTAAACAGGAACAAGCCATCCTTGCTCCAAAATAAGAGAGTCCACACATGAAGGCAACCAGGAACAGCTACCGTGCCTTAAATTTACATCCTAGCTTAATCCATGTGAACTGTCAAAGGCAGACAAGCCCTAAGTGTTACTATTAACCCCATAACGTGCCATCTTCAGGATCTATTGACCAGTAAGGCACTAAGATGAAGGGCTAAGCCAGGGATCGGCAACCTTTGGCATGCGGCCCGCCAGGGTAAGCCCCCTGGCATGCCAGGACGGTTTGTTTACCTGGCGCATCCGCAGGTTCGGCTGATCGCGGCTCCCACTGGCCGCGGTTCACCGCTTCAGGCCAATGGGGGCTGCGAGAAGCGGCGGCCAGCACATCCCTCGGCCGGCACCGCTTCCCGCAGCCCTCATTGGCCTGGAGCGGCGAACCGCAGCCAGTGGGAGCCACAATCGGCCGAACCTGCGGATGCGCCAGGTAAACAAACCGTCCCGGCCCGCCAGGGTGCTGACCCTGGCAAGCCGTGTGCCAAAGGTTGCCGATCCCTGGGCTAAGCGCTCAAGTTTGAAGACTAGGCCCTCCATATGGATCCCCAGGAAGGGGATCAGGAACAAACCTGTGACGGCTGGAAAAGGTTATCATAAGAATGGTCATACTGGGTCAGAACAAAGGTCCATCTAGCCCAGTATCCGGTCTTCCGACAGTGACCAATGTCAGGTGCCCCAGAGGGAATGAACAGAACAAGTAATCATCCAGTGATCCATCCCCTGTCGCTCATTCCCAGCTTCGGCAAACAGAGGCTAGGGACAGTATCTCTGCCCATCCTGGCTAATGGCCATTGGTGGACCTATCCCTCCTTTAATTTAACTAGTTCTTTTCTTGAACCCTGTTATAGTCTTGGCCTTCACAACATCCTCTGGCAAAGAGTTCCACAGGTTGACTGTGCATTGTGTGAAAAAAAAATACTTCCTTTTGTTTGTCTTAAACCTGCTGTCTATTAATTTCCTTTGGTGGGGCCTAGTTCTTGCGTTATGAGAAGGAGTAAATAACACTTCCTTATTTACTTTCTCTGGACCAGTCAAGATTTTATAGACCTCTATCATATGCCCCCTTAGTCATCTCTCTTCCAACCTGAAAAGTCCCAGTCTTATTAATCTCTCCTCATGCGGTAGCTGTTCCATACCCCTAATCATCTTGTTGCCCTTTTCTGAACCTTTCTCAAGTCCAATAAAACCTTTTTAGATGGGGCAACCACATCTGCACGCAGTATTCAAGATGTGGGCGTACAATGGATTTATATAGAGGCATATATAAATATATATATTTTGTCTTATCTATCCCTTTCTTAATGATTCCCAGCATTCTGTTAGCTTTTTTGACTGCCGCTGCACATTGAGTGGATGTTTGCAGAGAACTATCCACAATGACTCCAAGATCTCTTTTTTGAGTGGTAACAGCTAATTTAGACACCATCATTGTATTTGTATAATTGGGATTATGTTTTCCGATGTGCATTACTTTGCATTGATCAACATTAAATTTCATCTGCCATTTTGTTGCCCTATCACCCAGTGTTGAGAGCTCTACACAGTCTGCCTGGGACTTAACTATCTTGAGTAGTTTTGTATCATCTGCAAGTTTTGCCACCTCACTGCTTATCCCTTTCCCCAGATCATTTATGATAATATGTTGAACAGGACTGGTCCCAGAACAGACCCCCGGGGGACACCACTAGATGCCTCTCTCCATCCAGCAACTCTGCTGCTCCTTTATGCACGTTACTACTCACGGCCGGACAAGCTCCCCCCGACCCCTGGGCGCAGGCGAGGGGCTGGCAGAGCAGCTCGACCTCCCTGCCGCGAACCGCCCCCGGGCACACAGCGGCCCATCCCCGCGCCCGGGGGCTCAGACTCCCCCCCGGCCCCGCTCGCTCACCCAGCACCGTCATCTCGCCGGCCATTTCCCCAGCGCTCGCTCCCAGCTGCCGCTTCTCCTGCCGCCGCTTCCCGGTCTCGGCTGTTTGCTGACGCTCCGTTTCGGCCAGTGCGAGGTTTGGAAACCCCCGCTCCGCCCGCGCGGCCCCCTGGGAAGTGGAGTCCGCTCACCGCCCCCTGCCCAGCGCGGCTGAAGGGCCGTAGAGTCCACGGAAACTACAACTACCGGCAGCCGCCGCGAGAGCGAAGGTGCGTCCCCGCGTAAAACGTCATCAAGACACGTTTCCAATCATCGTCCGCGTTCTAGTGCGCAAGCGTAAAATGGGATGGTGCGCTTCAGGCACGTGGCTCGCAGTGTCTGCTGGGGCGGGTAGTCCTATTGATTCATGCTGGGCACTGCAAGCCGTTCTATCGTGTGCATGGGTCAGGCCCCAACATCATGAGATTGGTTATAAAACACAGGAGGGGATTTTAAAAAATAATAAAATGGGTTCTTTTGGTTTATTGCTTGCCTGGTTTTCAAACATTGTTGGGCACAGAAACCAGAAATCGGCCAGATGCTCCAGGTAAAACCAGAACAGGTGGCAACCCTCATTGGAGATCACATTTTCCAGCTTGTCTGCCCCACCATGAGGGCTACAGTTTTAGGAAAGCTGAGAATAGATCTTCGTATAATTCTGTGTTTCCAGGACCTGGAACATAAAGAAAAAAACACCCCATATGGCTAGTCTGTGATAAATACTACAATTTGCCAGGGAACAGACTGGGCCTTTTCAGGCACCATTTCCAAAGTCTTAATTCCCCTCTCCCTCCCTCCCCCCCCCCTATTGCCAACCCCCAAGGTTTCTTAAACAGGCCTCAAAAAAAAAAAAAAAAAAAAAAAAAAATCACAAAATGGGCTTAAAGCTATTAAAATGATACCAGGATTTTGTTTTGTTTTGTTTTCCAGTAAAATTTGTGACCTTTTATTTGCCTTTAGGTTTCTCAGCTTTCAGGGTTCACTCAGGTCATGGCAGTCAAAGATCTCATGGCAACCAGAATGGCCAGAAATTTACTTTTTCAAAACGAAAGTGGAGATTCTCACAATCACTTGACTTCTCTAGCTGGGGCTTTAAGATAACCAAATACTGCAAGACTTGTGATTAAAAAGCACAAGAGTTAGCAACTCTTCCCCCACTTCTGATGAGGCAGGTGATCAGTTCTGTTGTTTAGGTTTGGCCCACTATAGGGCTTCAAATACTGATGGCAACTTCAGGGCTTCTGAAGGACTCAGGGAGAGTTGGGCCCCAGCTCATTATCTCACACATCTCTTCTTTCACAAGGTCCAGAACCCCTCAAGGCCTTGTAGGGGAAATAGCAGAGGCTGTTTTCTTAAGATTGCCTAGCACTTTCATAAAACATTTTTGTTACCTTTCTTCAAAGTGCTCTCATGTCTCATTGCAACCTTAAAAACGTTCTTTAATATTTTGACACAATGATACATACACAGCTCCTCTCCTTTGTGCATTTGTAACTTGTGGGAGGGAAGACTTCTGGGGAAAGCCATCCACATCCCTGTGCACATGACATTAGTGCAAGGAGTGAAAATTCTGCCCAGGACTTTGCAAATAAGCCTGCTAATGCTTTCTGTGTGACTGACTGTAGTCATTATTCCTAGAAATCACACAGCATAGGCTCTGTTTTGCTTTTTCTATATATAATATTATGCAATGCAAAATAAAACTAGTTAATTAAAATCAAATCCAATTTTGCTTCTTGTTAAACTATTTGCTTAATGACAATATTGCTCCTCTGGTGAGCAGCAGCAGATTTTCAAGGGCTTGTAGATCATTTTCCTGTTTGGATCAGGAATTGATGATATGGAATAAGTTCATTTTATTTATTTATAAAATGTATATTTATGCTGTTTTCTGAAACACGGATGGTAAGAAACAGCACATAGGGAGAACCCCCAGGCCAGTCACCTTTGCCCAGTCCTGAAGCAGCTCTATTGCTTCTGTTTCTCCTCAGATGCACATACACTCACACTTAGAAACTGACTGCTTGGCGCTTACCATACACTAGGTTGGTCTATACACAAAAGTTACACTGCTTTAACTACTATGCTGGTATAAAAATGGTAAATTCCCCTGATAGGGATTGGTTACACTGGTATAAATTATTCCCCACATGGGAAGGTGATGAATCCATGAATAAGGCTAAAGTGAGTTAACCCATTCCACCTCCTTAACGACTTTCAGGATGCAGTGATTGCCTGACATCTTAACTCCTCTGTGATTAGTTTCACCTTGACTGATTACATCAACTACCTTTAATGGCAAACAGTTACGATATCTTCCCGCTTTGAGTTCCACAGGACAAATATGCATTGTGTAATGTACAGTCATTCCTGCTTCTTCTCACTTTTGTGTTTTCCTGTGTCTCTTTAAGGGCAGCTTCTCCTTTTTGCAGAGTTTGGCCATATACACACACAAAACTTTTTTTCATATGTATGTGGTAGAAGGGGGCCCATTCACATTAGTTCACAAGTCAACATGTCATCAACTCATCACTCATAAATCCAGTACATAAAACACATTAGATTTATAGCTTTCAGATATAATCTACGTATAGTTTTGTAGCTCAGGGGCCTGACTACCCATGTGCAACAAATAAAGCAATTTACTTATGACTGATGTGTAAACATGGGTCATCATGCCCATGATAATGGTTGATTTCATCCTGTTCCTGATATAACGGAACATGGGGTTTTCAGTGAGCCATTTACAAACTCCCTCATGCAAACTGCTCAAGCAGCTGGTCCTTTGCCTGTCAGAATGAGCAGAGAGAATGTGCCATGTCATGTCAGAGAAGGTGTAATACCTCATTAGTCTCCATTTAAAATAAAAATCCTAGCAGCCACCCACTGGATGCGCTCAGACGTGATTTTTCAATTACTTATTCAACCAAATTCTTTTTCATATATCACAGATGAATACCTTACCATGGACTCTTCAAATGCCATGTTTTAAAGCTCAGCCATTGTTAAGTTATTGAGCAGGGAAGAAAGGGTCTGATAGTTTTTATAGCATTTTTTCCACCCTCACAAAACTCAAAAAGCAGATGGAACAATTTTATCTATTCATTCACCTTTCTGCAGAGAATAAGAGTTTTGGAAAAGAGTTTTAGTGAAAATGAAAAAGGGGCAATGCAATAAAAAAATGTATTTCATTCATAATTATACCATTGCTGCCAAGCAAATGTTATAATAAGGTGGACCTATCTGAAACCCAACACTCCTATAAAAGTTCTAGTGCCTGTGTGTTTGTTTGTCTTCTAAACTGCTATAACAAACATTGTACAGTGGGGGGAGAGGAGAAAAGGAATTGTGTATAAGACATTTCTTTGCAGACCTAAGTGTTTGCTGGTTTTATTCTTAGGATTAAAAATGTGTAGTGTAAATCAGCAAGCTAACTCAGCCTACACACCGAAGGACACTCTCCAGCCATAGCATTCCAGTCCCCTTTTCTGCAGAGCTCCAATTCCCACCCTCCTAAATAAAGCTATAAAACACAAGCTTAACGTGTCAATCATGCCCCTTCTCCTCTGACCAAGGGTCTCCTATAGTGCTCTGTTTACTCTCTACAGGATTACACCACACAGGCCTGAGTCAAGTCAAGTCAAAGCAAGCCTGAATGCAGGACTACACTTCAGAGGTTCATATGTGATTTAGGTTCTCTCTCACACTCCCCCACACAGCGGCAGCTCCAGGCACCAGCGCTCCAAGCGCGTGCCTGGGGCGGCAAGCCACAGGCAGTGCCCTGCCAGTCCCTGTGAGGGTGGCAGTCAGGCAGCCTTCAGCAGCATGCCTGCCGTGCTTGGGGCGGCAAAAAAGCTAGAGCCGCCCCTGCCCCCACAAACACTGCTACAAAAGCTTTCTTATGTCTTGCAGCGCTTGCTGGCTTTTATGAGGACTAGGTGATCCTCAAGCTATCAGCTCATATTTGGCCTCACAATCTCTCCTGGGAGGCAGCTGATTAGTCACAGGTGGAGTGAAACCAAGGCCCCTTAAACAGCCAGCTGGCCTGTGACAACATGTCAGTGGGGAGTGAAATACTGTGCCTATAATTTACCTATTCATGACCAAGTGCTTATTTATGCTTATTAGTGCTACAACTCATGCAGGCGAGAGTCTGTATAAAGCCTTTGCAAGAAGTATGCAATGATTAATCTCCTTGGAGGAGAATGTGTTTTTTCCCTTGTGTTTTGATAGGTGGCGGAAAAAATGTTTTGGTCTATAAGTGGGTTGAAGGAGAAAAGAATTAATGTAAAATCTGACTGGCTGGCTTTAAAGCAATTTCCCATCAAAGAGGAGCAGGACTCTGTAGTAAAACCTGTCATGTGGGGGGAACCAAGTTACAGTACTGCAGACTCCTGACATGTTTAACACACAGTTCAGTCTGCCATTGTCAGTGGGACCCAGCCATATTTTAATTGTGGTCCTGAAGTATGCTATATCCATGTGTTAAAGGAAGAGGAAACTCAGGGGAACGCAGCACCCTCTCTTCTGTTACCATACAAAGGAAGAGCTGCTCCTCCTCCTCTGCCTGGCTTGGAGGAGCAGTGCTTTTCCACAGCTCTCCCTCCTTGGCTTGTGCAGTGGGAGCTCCTCCCTCCTGTTTCAGTCTGCTTTAACCAGATATTTCTATAGTCTCCAGAGCTGTAGCATACGGTTCGGGAGGATAGTCAAGACACAGTTTGGCCCCATCTCTGCTGGAGAACCCAACCAAGAAATGTGTGAGATAAATGCCTCAGAAATCAGGCCATTTATTGAGGTGCCTAAACCTGGAATCTCTGTTTTTAACCTAGACAAAAAGTAAAAACAAGTTCTCACCTCTCAGTAAGTTTCCATGTTAAAAATAATAGAAACACAAGAACTTCACCGATAGTGCCTTGATCACGTTAAGACATTGAGAATTTTCCTCCTTTATGTGATTGGGAAAGAGCAATTTTTTGAGTTTTCATGTTAAAACTGTTTGGCTTCAAGCTATCTAGATAAATGTGTGGCCTTCAATTTAGGTGCAAAAATTATAACTGA